GAAATCATGAATTGACTGGACAAAGAGAAAGGAAAAAACAAATAGGAACTCTGAGCCTGAACCAGTGAAACTTTCCCAGACTCTTAAGACTTAAGTTCACTAATTGTTGTAGAAGTTAAGCAGTTTGGCATAATGTAACTAAGGACTGTATGACTCATCCTTGCTTCTTAATCTAATTGTACATATAGGAGGGAGTCATAACATCAGTAAACTTTTGTTCATCAGTAAAATCAAAGATAATTTTTCCAGGTATTAATAGTAATAACATATGCCACTTACTAATTTACAAAAGTGCTATTATAAATGATTCATTTAATTTTCACAATAATTACAAAGAACATTTTATACCCATTTTAGTGTTTTAAAAAATGATCCTAGAGCCAAATGTCATGTAAAAATTAAATATGCTAAGATCTGTTTTGGAATGAAAATATTATGCTTATTCTATGAAGACAAGTGAAGACACAGGGAGGAATGCAAGGGTTAAAGGGAATAGAGGTAAATACTGTTATGTGCTGCACAATCCTGCAACAACAGTGTTCCGTGGATAGATACACTGGCTGAATGGGTATGAAAGTATATAAGGGTTTGACATAGGATATTTGTACATGGGTATTTACCTTTGCAACAAACACACCTATGAATGTGGTGGAGCATCCAGGAAGCAAAATGATGAAAATATCTTAGACATTAACAAACACTGTAAGGCAATGAGTTGCTGGGCTTGGGGAATCAAGGCAATAGTCTCGGGGAACATCATGGTCAATTGGCATAACAGTCCACAAAGACAATGTTCTATATCCTGCTTTGATGAGTAGCAACTGGGATCTTAAAAGTTCATGAGCAACCATCTAATGTGAAACTATTTGTCTCTCCATGTGGGAAAAAGAATAGTGATGACAATTAAAGATGCTTGGAATCAATTATGCTAATGGATTAAGGGAACATACGAACATCTATCTCCACAACTCTGAGACCAGAACAAGATGGTGCCTGGCTACAACTGCCCATGGATCTGAAAGGAATCACATTAGAAGTTCCAATATATAGTGGGATCAAATGTAGAACACAACTCAAAATTTCAAAAAGACTGGGCTTACTAGTCAAAAAGAGATTGGACAAATATGAGACTATGGCCCTCGGCCACCCTTCAGGTTTGGAACAGAATTAACCCTAATGGCCTAGTCATCCAAGCGCTAAGTAAGTATTTAGGGGAACAATAACGCAAGTAGACTATGTTCACCATGGAATGGTCAACCATTCAAGATCAAAAGGGCAACATTTACCTAAGAACAAAGTTCAGAAAGGTTGGTAAGGAGGGTGGAATGGAAATAAGAACCATAAGGAGGAAGTTGGGTAACTGTTGATACATGGAGGGAATTGCAGTCATTGAGATGAAACAGAGAAGATGATCTGTTGAATGTAAAACCGATGTTCTGCTCTGTAAACTTTCACTCAATTCATAATAAAAAGTCTAAAAATATATGTTACACTCATTCTAATAAACCATAATTGTCTCAAGAAATTTGAACCTGTTACTCTTCCACTTGTTCTAGGAGACCTATATGAATGTGATATAACCCGTGGTCATTTATCCATCATTAGAATAGATCAGACATTTAGAGGGCAGAGTTAGCAGGTGGTAGTTTATAAACCTGTTTTGGGTGGTGATTGAGAATGTTTCCATTCCATACTTTGCCGTTTACTCTTAGGAAACAAACCAAGAAAAATTCAAAAGTCAACCATCAGCTGGGAAATTGACGCTTACAGTTTTCTGGGATTCTCAAGGACTAGTATTGGAACACTTATCAGGAAGAAGATTTAACAATCAACACTGCTGCCAGAGCTGGTTACAGTGAGATGCTCACTGAAGAGCTGAAGCCTAAACTTCAGATTAAATGCAGAGGACTGCTATCCAATGACATGGCATTGTGATCTTGCATGACAATGCACGTTGCACACCTCTGGCCACACCATTGAAACTCTGCAAAAACTTTGCTTTGAGTTTGTTAAGCATTCTCTTTATAGTCCTGATCATGGACCACCTGTTTGCTCCCCTGAAAGTAGCCCTTTGAGATGAAGATTCACAAGAACTGGAGACAGTGGTGCAGTCATGGCTCACAGCTCAGCCTAAAACATTTTATAATAAGGGAATATGAAAGTTTGTTGACAGATGGACAAAGTTTATTGAAAAACAAGGAGATTATGTCAAAATCTGATTTGTCTTTTCTAAATGTTGATTAAAATAAATTCTACAGCCAGAGTGCAAATACTTTCGACTCACCCTCATACATTTTAAGTTTCGCCTGGTCACAGAAAGAATTAGCCAAATAATCAGCACGAGGGGGAGGAAGATCTGTTGCTATTGTTGATGATGTACAGTCTAGTCCCAAACATAGCAACCATGAATAGGGTTTCCGAGGCTTTACATATTTGTGGAAACAGAAAGTCTTATCTTTCTTCTGCAGAGTGACCGCCAACCTTGTGATTCACAGGTCCAGTGCTTATCCTACAGCACCACTGTGCTCCCTAATGTGTCTTAAGCACCATGGGGAAGAAGATACAGAATTAAGAATTGGTTAATTTGTATAATGTATAGTCTACAGTCAGATAATCAGAAGTTGTAACTACTATAACTAACTTTATTAGAGCTCAGGAAGAATGATAAATTATTTGCTGAAACTCAAAGGAATTTTATAATTTCTCTTAACCCTATGGTAAGTCACTAGAAAAATGAATGAACAGCTGTCTCCATTTGCTCACCACACTAAAATAAAGGGGCCACAAGCCCATGACTAAAAATCTTTTCTGAATTGATGAAGATGAGATAATGGCAGACAGAATTGAAATTAGTGTGCAAACAAACAAACAAATAAATCTTGTCTTTTTCCACAAGATTCTGGAGTTAATGAGGTAAATCTGAAACCTGGGTAGATTAAAGCACCATTATGTTGATTTTCTGCAGCCTTATAATCCCAAACAACCTATGTTGGAAAATGATGGATGAAATTAAATCATTAAACACAAAGCAAGCACTTACTTGCATAAAAAGCAATTCTAGGGAAGTGAGCATTAAATGATCTCAGAAAGCTTAGGTTTCAAATTTTAATTCAGTAAAATTAATGAAATACCTACCTGTACTCTAAACTCTGCGAGACAGTGAGAGCCTGTGAACAAAAAGTGTACCCGTGGATCCTGTGAACAAAAAGTGTACATGTGGATCCTGTGAACAAAAAGTGTACCCGTGGATCCTGTGAACAA